TTGTTTGCCCTTAGCTTTCTATAAAAGGCCGCGAATTGGAGAACCAATCATAGATGGGCATACACGTGGCAATACTTATTCCTACGTAGGGGCTGAAATTCTCCGCAGTCCTTAGCGTCGTCCATACATATAACGCCTACGTTAAACCCATATTAAACCTACCGGCCATATAAAACCTACGTTAAATCCGTCGATTTAACGTAGGTTTTCACGTCGCTTAATTTCCTTCTGTTTTTCTCGATCGTAAAAATAATGCCTTAAAATTTTCTGTTTCCTCTTACACTGAAAAGAACGTACTCACAAAATTTCAAGGAGATTCCCATCGGCAATACCGTTGTCATGATGGTGAATTGCTTTACAACAGTCTCTCTTTTTCACGATCATGAAATTCTTGGGACTGAAAAGTTAGATTTTATCAGCCCATTCCTCTCTAGAGGGATATGACCGCATGACCCTTCGTCGTTCAATCATCACGAGAACTGTACACCGCGTATTAATATAGCGGCCAAAAGGACCGCCTTAAGCAGAAAGGAACCAAGCCACATTGGCTATTGCCAAATTTAAGTGGGCAACTTGATTTTTTGCATGAAAACGGTTTTGCGGATTTTTGTGCAAATTTATGTGAAAATATATTCTGTACAGTACGAGGCAAAGTCTTGTACATTTTCGAAGGAATCCGCACAGAAGTTCTCTTGTGAAATTGCGCAGTAAAATTTGGCAATAGCTGTTGTGGTTTGGTTCCTTTCTGCTAAATGCAGTTCAAATAGATATTGAATTGCACGGTCGCATGCGGGAAAATTATCCGGCTAAAGAAGGATCAACGCTTGTTGTATCTCCCGTTTATGAAGGCGCTTTTAAGGCACGCGTCAAATGAGGAATGTGATGAAACTAACAATAAGACAAGGACAAGATGCAGCACTGCCTCATTATTTGCGCAGTAAAAAGAAAAACAATCCAATTAAGAACGTGAACACAATGACTAATAAAACGTGAGAAACATTTGATTCTTTCACACTTAGAATATACGTTTTGAATTACTTTGCCGAGCCCCTACCATTTGAGGTAACAATTCTTGAACCACTAGACAAGGTGCGAAGTTACGCATCCTGATACATGTTGCTTAGCCAAAATTTCACGTAGAAAGCGATTCGCGCAACGACAATTGCTGAAATGAACTCCTAATCAAGATTTTCAATATTCCTTACCGCGTGAATTCAAACCTCCTGCTCTTGAAAATGCAATGATCTACATCAGTCAAATCGCACACTCAACGTTATCGTGGTAGTATCTGCGATGCGAAAACATGACAACCTCAATCTTGACGCTTCGGCTCAGCTACAGCACATTGTTTACACTTTGAGCGATAAAGGGAGGGAAAGGGACAATGCTCGATTGAGAAGTCTGCCAAAACCTTTGTAAGGCGCGATTTGACTCACCGAGTAATGCGTTTCTTGTGAGCAGGGAACTCAAATTTCCAATAACCAACGTAAAATGAAAGCGTTTATATTTTAGTTAGGAGTTGATTCCAGTAATTTTCAATGCAAGAATCGTGTTCTACGTAGAATTCCGGTAAAATAACATGTATCAAAATGCTTATAGTCTAGTGGTCCATTATGCTGATGGCGCATTTTCCGTATCAATACGACGATAATTACACTTTACTGATGGAAAATATGGCAACATCGATACTCATCATGGCAATGTACGGTGTATAATAGGATTTCACGCAACCGGGACAATTAGACGTAATGACAACGGAGTCAATAATTAAGAGGACCGCTTTTGTGGGGTGCCGATTGTGACCGAAATTAGTCACACTGATTGGCCTAGATCAATACCGATTTGTCGAATATTTGTCTAACTGCTCTGTTACTGTGTAATAATAATTAGCAATGGCTCCGACCAGTTGAACCACGGTGTCGACAAGTGGAAGTCATGATTTTTGCTTTCAATTTCCTCACAATTTCCTTAATTCCAGGGTAAAATACACCGTTGAAACTACAGGATTTTTCTGATTTTCCGTCAGGACCTCTATGAGATAAATTAGATTTTACTCCGGAATTCTCTTGCTTGTTTCCAGATGGTTCTCGAGTTTCCAATGGCTTGGGCGCAGGGTTGCAATTTTGTATGAAAAATAAAATCTTGATTTCATGTGGAGTATTTCATGAAATTTCTATCAGAAAAATGTTTTTCAAAATTAAATGCAAAATTGAATGAAAGGAGACTGGTTTTTGCTTTTTGGTGTTTTTTTTAGAGCGTGTTGCATACCCAGCTCCTGGAAATATGTTTCATATTTTTCACAACTTTGTGTTTCATGAAATATTTCACGTTAATTTTCAATTATCAGATTTTTCATTTCACCCATGCAAGCAACCCGACTTGGACGTGACCTTGCAGTACTAGGGATGTAGAATGTTCTCGGTATTCTCATTCCAAAGGCCCATATATTTTCCCTCAGAAATTTCAAAAAGATGACCGCCCAATCTCACAGTATGTACAGCTTACCGGCATTACACGCTAACCACGTGATTTTTACCGCGGTTTTGCCGGCCTTCCTATTCTTAAAACTTATTTTCGGGGCCTTTAAATTTTCGCATGCAACACGGGCTAATTATTGAAATTAATAGACAGAGTGATAGACAAAGAAGACATAAGAAAAAATATGGAGCGATCCTGTTCGTCAAAACGGGTGGTTGTTATAAACTAAGGCGGAAAATGATGGACTAACAATAGGGTCTCTCCTGGGTTGCCTTTAGCAGTGGCGTGGCGTGAATTGCGATGTATCGATTGTTATGCCATTTATATCTATGTTAAAGAATCGCTTATTTAGGTGTTCGCTGCGAACACCCTGTTAATCGATCCTTTTCCATAGGTTTAAATGGCATAACAATCGATACATCGCAATTCACGCCACGCCACTGGCCTTTAGCTAGTCTATTCTCTACCTCCTTCGTCCATTGCAACCACCCGCTTCCACCAATAGGATCCCTCCATATCTCTTTATGTCTTCTTTGTCTATCAATTTCAATGATCGGCCCGGGTCAAGAAATTTTTGCACAGCACAGCTGGGCCGAGGAAAAACTTCGTAAGAACATCCAGAGGTTGCCAAATTCCCTCTTATACAAAAACTTCTCTTAGAAACTGGAAAAATTTTTTGTTCAAGTTTATACTAGAATTTTCGTCACAGTTTGACCTAGTACTTAAATTTGAAAACCTAATAGAAAGATATACATAACTTTCCTTGAAAATAAATGTTATGATTTGGAAAACTTGGCAACATTCGGCATCCCTCCTCTCCCGCTTGCCCTATACCCTAAAATTATATGAAAATTTTTTAAAAATTTTGTTAAGTCCTATAATGCTGCTCATATATCAGATTTAAGTTCACTTAATGGTAGCCTTTAAGATAAGCCACTTTGAGATAATAACTAATTCGATTTTAATATTATTCAAGGCCCATTGCGTTGAACATAAACTGTGAACAATCTTCCAATTTTGCATCCTTTAGCGAGTGTAAAGCAATGTGACTATGACAGTCTGACAACAGTGATGAATTTAGTTAAATTTAACTACCATGCCTATACCTTTATTTTTTTAAAAGAACAAGTTAACCCGTTGTATATCTTTAGAGATTATTCTGCATTTGTTACATCATGCTGATAACAGAGGTACCTATACATTTTTTAATAGGATGTTGCTCTCATCAAATTGCAAGAATGAATTTCTCGTAGAAATCCCTCACTAAAATTGAAATATACAACAGGACGACGTTAAAACAACTCGGACTTTGAGCAGGCCAAAACATTTGGTCAACATCAATTTTTTGAAAGAACTGTCGAGCATTATCATCATTTAAAAATTGCCAATTATGCCTGCAGGATGTCTATAGAAGTAAATTTTTAAGGATAGTGATTTTCCGCATGTTCGGTCCAAGACTAGAATTTGAGTTTTCAATAGAAAAAATTTCCTAATATCCCTGAATATAAGTTGCGAGCGGTCTAGTTCATTTCTGTGCCTGCTTAAAATTTGAGGTTCATAATATTGCATTCAGACATTAATAGGTTGAAAATTTAAACACATATGTAATTTCTTTCAGTAAATTTGTAAACTCTAAACTGCCATAGCCCCAGTTTCATTTCCCACATTTTCCCGCATTTTTTGTGCCAAAATGCTTGTAGACCACTTCTTTGAGCAGTAGGTAGTGCTAACAGTTTAATTTGATTTTTGTAAAACTAAGGTTCATGGATCTGTTTTCAAACAGATGGCCATAATTGGAAGTTTTCGTAATAACCTTGAGTTTAAGGGACACAGAAATGAAATGGATACACCATCACGAGAATTAGAACAAAATAAACTTTTGCATAGCCAACAAAATTTAGGCGTCTAGCAGCTAAATAAAATGATAAATTGTTTTCTTTCTTTTTTTCCGGTAAGATTGATTACATTGGCGAACATTTAACACTCTATGGCATTGACCCTCCCTCAACCCTCTGAGGGACACAAGCTACACTGTACATTGTACGGTGAAACAGAATCCCGAATTTTTTCTCTCACAAAATTTCAAAATTTTGTTGAACATTTGTTTTAGAAAAACTGATAAAAATTTGCGATGTCATGTCACAGAAGTAGTTCAATTTTTAAAAAAAACCAAAAATGCGTTGGTACAAATAAGTAACACCACGCCATGAAGGGTTAAGCAAAGTAAACAAGAAAATTTTCATAAACTTAAATTCCGAATGTTCCCATGGCCACAAAATCGGTAGAGGCAAAATTTTGAAGAAAAAGCAATGGTTTGATGATAAATCAACGTCAAAAAGATAAATTCATGATACTCTTTGACCTTGAAATACAGTCGAAACAAAATTTCCTAGATTAAACATTAATGATTGTTTTACTACAGCATCATTGAACTTTCAAAACCTGCTACAACATATGTGATAAACTTAAAAAAGAAAAAAACACAAAAAGAAAAAAGATAAAAAGGAAAAAGATCTACATACCTAGGCATGATGATAAGATGTTACTGCACACAGTGCTGTGTGCTCAGACTGAATAATGAAGCAGTCTGATGGGTGGCATTGACTGGACTAAAATGGAGAGTGAATCCTGATGGGAGTCAGGGTGAAAGTAGTGGCAACTTCTAGTCCTCAGAGTGGTCATAGGCACTTGCACTTTTATCATGATCAAACCCAATCCATTATGTAAACAATCCACTGTTTCCCTCTCGTGTCAGCTCCTGCTTGATTCAAATTACCGATTAGTGATTAGTTCAGTGTTGTGTTTCACCAACAATGTGTAAATTAGTGATTTCCACCTCATGATCATCTAGTATTGAATAAATTATTCTATTTGTCTACTGGTGTAGTTAGTTAAAAGTGGACCGAGTTTAACAGAAAGGAACCAAGCCACATTAGCTATTGCCAAGTTTCACTGGGCAAGTAATTTTTTTTTACAAGAGAACGTTTGTTCGGATTTCTTTTAAAATTTTAAGGAATTTGCTTTGTACCATGGAGAATTTTCACTAAAATTTGCACGAAAATCCACACAACCGTTTTCATGTAAAAAATTAAATTGCCCAAATAAATTTGGCAATAGCTGATGTGGCTTGGTTCCTTTCTGTTATTTGCGGTCCAAGTGTAATGGTCCTTCCTGGATCAGATGCATGAATTTAACTGGAGTTACCCTAACTATGAGCAATGTTGCCGGATTTATTTCCAGGTTTTCATTTTTTTTTCCAGAAAATTAAGCAACACTCCGACTTGAAATTTTGTATACAAGTCCTTCATAATCTGAGGAAAATTCAGAGAAAGTTTCAAGGCGTTATGCTATTTTGTCCTCTATTAAAAAAGATTGTAAAGCAACACAAAATGAGGTTAGATTAATTTTGGTTGAATCCGCCCCAACATTCTTCAAGTATACTTGATAGAGAGGGAAGGGTAGAGAGGACCTTTGATTCCATTAATTTCAAATAATTACTAAAGAGTGATGTTCTGTGATAAATAAAAACAAAATTCTTAATGAATTAGTGTTTCCGATGTTTTTAGCTGGTCCTCATAGAAATCAAGGATATTTTTTCTGAAGTTACTGACCAGCTGAAAAGGATAGTTGACAGGGTCAATCAGACATAAATATTTGGACTGGAAATGTTTCCTCTCTTGGGATTTGAGACAGAACATCTGTGGTTATTCCGTGCTTTTATGAGGCGACACATCAAAAAAGTGTTAGCCTGTTTCTTCCTTATAGTGGTTTTTGAACTTGTGGCATGATTTTTGCGAGAATATTTGATTTGACATACAGTTAATTGGTGAACAGTGCTGATTTTTCCGATAAAAAAAAAAAAAAAGGTATTCATCATATGTGTGTCAAAAACCTTTTGGCCTAAGCTTCAAGCTACAAGCTGATTGCAATTTAGATTTCTCGAACAATTATTCCAGCCTCCAAGAGTTCATGGCAAGACATTTTATTTAAAACTCCGCCGATGAAAAGATAAAAAAACATAGAATGGAGAGAAATGGTTAAGTAAATTTTTTTGTCGATTTTCAGTATTTTGATGCAATTAGACTTTTGGAAACTACAAACTTTTGAAATTTGATCAGTCTGAAGTTTTATGAGGTGTTTCCTCTTGATGTAAATTTAGAGTTTAAAGCCAGGCTTACCTTAATTTTTTCTGTTGATTATCTCTCGTGAGAGTAGATACTGGACTGGCTACTTACTTCTTGCATTCCAATATTAAAGGTCATGATGCCTCTGAGGGACAAGTTAATGAGGTGCTCAGGAATACAATACCATGGAATTTTGAACTTGTTTTGGGAAGGATATGGTTCAAGAGAAAATAAATTTCTGATCATTCAATCAGGCCAAATTAAGCAATCTAGTAAAAAAAACTGCAGGAACGAGTGACATTAAAAATTTATGACAGAGAATTGTCCGATGTGTCAATGGCTGGGGTCGAAAAAAGCGTCTCGCACTGTGCAAAAAAATCGCAACATTGTATGTTTCCGCTCAGGTTTTATTTATTCAAAAGAAAACTAACCGACAATATCTATTGAGATTTTCTATGCATTTTCTTCACTCGTTCAAACATATTCACAGAAAATACCAAGGAGATATTTTAGATTGTATTCTCTTGAAAAAATAAAAGGAAGTGAGAATTTTGGAAACATTGCAATGCAGATCAACTATAAACATTGATATGCAATTAAAGCTTTCTTGACGAATTTAGGAACGTGAAAACAGCAGAAACCTTGAATAAAACTAAGAGACTAATGAAACATAACATTTCAAGAGGTCGCACTGCAATAATTTTTCCTGTTGGTTCGACTCACTTTTTTAATGAAAGGATTAGAAATCCACAACGATACAAATATTTAGAAAAATACTTTTATTCTAATCGTTTAAATTATTTTAAAAACAGAACACGGAAATTCACAGTAAAATGACTTTAAAAGTTCTAATTATGTTGAGTGGAATTTACAAACCAAACGCAAAGTTGAGTGAAGCACGACAAGGAAAACAAACAGGAAAAAAGTCAACAGTTTGAAGTCTAGCGACGAAAAAGTAGTGCACTTAACCTAGAAAACAACTATTCATGTAAATAACATTGCATCTACACAATTGAAATACTTTAAAAGGTGGATAGGATTTGCTCACATTAAGAATACAATAAGATGAACCGATCCGGTAATATTATACAACTATATTGGGTACTCTTCAACCCATTTAATCACACTTCGTTTTCCTGATTTCACAATAAACCTAGAGGAAAGCGCCAGTTGACGAAGCACAAATTAGATTTCTGCTTTTTTAGTAACCTCCATAGCATATCTCACTGGAAGCAATGTAAAGTCAGGGTCATAAGAAACAGATGAATCACATGTGTAACAATGGAAATTTTGTGGAACATATCATGGAATTTTACAAGGCGCTGAAGTCGATGAAAAATATTAAACGTTACTTTGAAAAAAAAAAGAGAATAAGCGTGAATAAATTAATTTCTCCAAATATTATGGGCAAACTTCCAACCATTACTAGGTGTTTGGCTTATAATCAGTGCCTCAAAACATATTTTTCATTGAATTTTCGACATATCAGTATTTTCAAAAATATTCCACTTGAAATCTCCTGATTTTAAAATTAAATTTCGCCACTTGACATGCCGCAACAAGTTCAAAAGTGAAGTTAAAGGAAGATATTCATGGCTACTACTCCAATAAACAACCTTGATTTTCAGATTGGTAACTTACTGATTAAAATAACTGGACATTTTATCGTTAAACAAAATAAGAGAAAGGTTGAATTGAAATGCTTTCTACTGAGAGGAACTCCGACATTGAATTTCGTTCCCAAAGAATGGATTAGTTGCTATAAAAAACAACAACCACATTTTTAGCTATTAAAGCTGAGAGGGATACTGAAGATCTCTCTAAATTTAAAATGTTACAGTTAAAATTGAAATCAGACGGCCTACGAGACTTCATTTCGTCGATCAGTTTGCAGCAAGAGATTATGCATTCCATTTGTTACAATTGAGAAATTAGGTGGTAAGATACTGTCATTAATGATCAGCAGTTTTGATTAAAACTAAAAAAAGATAATTATGCATCAATGGACTATGAATGTCAATGGCTGAATGCGAAAAATGCGTACTTCAATTGAAATGTTTAAAAATCTCCCGTCAAGTTTTATATGTATCTAAAGGAAAACTTATCAAAATGTCCCTTACAATTTTGAGTGATTTTTTGAAAATGAATGAAGAAAATTCACGAAAAATTTCAATGAGAACTATTTAGTTTCCTTTATAAAAATAAGACATGAACAGAGAATTCAACGTCACAATCTGGGATACACATTTCTAACAATTAGCTATAATTAGGCAATGTTGTGTTTATTTCATCCATAGAAAAAGGAATTAAAAGGGAGGAGGGCACCAGGTAATGTCAGCGTTGCAAAAATTTCGATAGTCTCTTAAGAGATATCTTTCCAGGCCTACTGTTTTCTGCGTGAAAATTAGACGAGAAAACATATTTTAGAGCGCTTGATCACAATTCTTGTCTGGTGATCCATTTACCCTACTTCCAATTATGCACACAATTTATCCATTTACTGTCAACAATACAGACATATATCATAAGATCAATCTGTGTAAAAAAGCCTTGTAGGAGAAGAAGAAGAAGAAATAGTACTAAAACTTAACCCATTAACATCTAAGACTTTGATTGGTCAGAACACAATACTTCATGGTGCCAGCACGGGTATCAGTTCCGGTAAAGTTCCGTGTTTTAAATGCAGCTTAAACTAAATTTAAAACTTAAGCTAAGTTCATTCCTTCATTTGGTTTGAGGTAAGAAAAAATTTACATGCTTAATGGAGACTTACATTTAGTGGTAGTTTACAAGTAAGTGATTTCAACGAAGAAACATGCACAAGGAATAGTAACAGGGGTTCAAGGCTGAGGCTTTAATAAGCATCACAAAGTACGGGTCCGTTTCATTTGGAACTTTTCTGTTCAGCTTGATAGAATCTGAAAAATACAAGGAAAATTGATTGGTATCAGTTACAAAACAAGCGGGAAAGTTCTAATACTGTCGTATTAGAAAAGCGCTCAGGTGTTAGTAAATGTATTTAATGAAGAAAGGACGTATAAACTCTGTCGACTTGGCTGGGAAATGGAAATAAAACATCAGCTGATAGCAAACAAAGGTTACCAAGGAAACCGTAAACACGTATTTTTGTTTCCCGAAAATGAGCTCACCGTTGAGCTCATCAGGCGCGTTTTTTTTAGGCTTCATTTGAGTTCAACGATCAATTTCGATAAGAATTACTCTACCGCTAAGAAATTTTCTTATAGACAAACGATCGAAACTACCTGCGCATTACGTTAAAAGCATAAAATACAGTTTTCACAGCTTTATTTATTTTAAAAATGGACCCCCCCAAAAAGCCTACACATCGATGAGCTGGTGCGCCATTTAAACGCATTAGCACTAGTATACTAGTACTCAGAGGCAAGTCGAAATCAAAAAGCGCTGCCTATCAGCTGAGCGCTTAAAAGCTGTGGTATTCCCGAGTATCCATCTTTTTTCTGTACTGCAGACACTCTAATTTTAGGCTAAAAACCTTGGTGAAAAATTCTCCAGGCTTGCTTCATGATCATCAAATTGGTATTCTTGATTATAACAGCACAGAACTAGGATGATAAAGTACGCTGAGATAAAAAATTCCTGCACACAAACTCTTGCGCCTCTAAAAGCTTATACAAAATTTGTTAGAATGGTTCACATTCCCTACGATTTATCATTTTAAGTAAAAGAAAAAGCTTTTCCATTTAAATGCTACAAAACTAAAATATGTCTGACCATTCCAAGAATTCCAGGTGCTGACAACTCAGCTGAAAGAAAAGTGAGATAAGAAAGTAGAAAATATTTGTACTTACAACAATAAAATTAGGAGATGTCATTGACATATCAGGTACGGTCCGAATGAACAGGTTAACAGAATTAGGGTTTCATCGCACTCATATCGGCACCACGTCTCCTGTCTTTCAGATGAGCCTGGTTAGAAAAAGAAATGAAACAGACCATTGAAAAACTTGAAACAAGGCAAAAATTTTATCATCAGACAAGGAACTTTCCAACTGTCTATTTTTTTCCAAAGTTCTTGCCCATTGAAAAATTTTACATGAAACACAAATTTCATTACCAGAGAAAGAGGTTTTCATCAAATGACTATTTTTCTCAGGAATCACTTCCAGGAGATAGATTCCTGGGAGCAAATTTATTGAGCAACTGATTGATATTCGGCCTGATTTAAGCGGAAACAGCCTAACTGCGTTTTGCGTTTTCTAATTTTCTCTTATGTGTAATTTTATTAACGGAGGACTAAACTACTTACACCTTTGAGCTCTCTGTGATTTTACCCTACTAGCTTATGGAGAATATACCTACTCACAAAATTGCAAGTTTCAGTTTTTCATAGTTTTGGTTTGAATGATAAAACATTGGAGAAAATTAGGCAACATCTGACGAAGTTAGGCTAATTTTGGTCACATCTTTCTATTAATTCAAATGCATCAAACGCAATCATTGAGTTTTCAACGAGACACTCTTTCAGTTATTTTAAAGAATATGTTCCAAGCAATTTTGTTGATTTTTGCGCACGGACTTGACACTGTATTCTAATCCAACAATGTTAAAGCAAAAACATGATAGGTTGAAACTTAGATCAGTTTTACTGAGCAAGAAAAGTCTGAACTGTCAAAAGTTCTTGGCTCCATTTCAGTCTAACAATTTAGGGTTTTTTAATGTCAAAACGTTTGTACGACGCTCCTCTATGTAAAAGTGCTAATAAATTAATTTTGAGAATTCACCTGTTACATTTCATCCCTGTAGACGGTCACAGAGTAAATTATCACAAATAATCTCCTCCATAAAATGAAATCTAAAGATTAGAATCTGTTAATTACAGAATTGACTTAGGATACATCAGTCAATAAATTCTCAGATATACTGTCACAATTTGATGTTACATTAAGTTTAATTGGACTAACAAAAAGTTTGACAGAATATAACAAAATCAAATCAGGATCGAAGTGAGAAAAAGGTATTAGCTATTTTATTTTGCCATAACACTCAATGTTAGTAATGGTTAAACGTCTGTTTTCACAAAATCAAAAGGACATAATTTGCAGTTAGTCCAGTTCAAAACTATTGTAACTCACTCTTTTGCAAGATTTTAACTTTGGTCCAATCTCATGGTTTGTGCTACCCTGTATCTTAATTTTAAGTACTGAGGATTTAGTCTATTTTCTTTATTTTGCTTTCTCTTATCATTATTGACTTGCTTTTATTGCTGACTATCAGTAGAGAGTAAAATTCATGCACTTTTTATGTACCTTCCAGAAATCAAGTACTTTCAAGGCATTGGAAAAATATTCTGAACATGCATTTATCAATCTTATTTCACGGCTGCCCGAAGCGTGTATCTTTCAATTCAGTTCAATTTAAGTCGGGGACAAAAACACCTTCCGAAAAAACCAATCACAAACCTGGATGATTTTTATGTACTCCTGTCTGCCGAGGAGAGTGTAGGACGAAGTGAACATTTGCAAAGCCTGCTTGTGAAGCAATTGGGAACCATAACAAAACAAATCGATCGCTAATTCCAGTCCTGTCCCAAAATCGCACTCGTCGAGGGCTATAGATGCCCAGGTGATCACTGTTTGCAGCTTTTCGAAACGGGCAGTCCGCTCAATGTCACTGGTTGCGTTTACAATCGCCTTCAATGTGTTCTTCAACTCAGCTACAGAAATACAATACAAATTTTTTTGATACATACAAAGGAAAATTCAAATTGTAAAAAAGAAAATTAGTCTTGAGAGAGCAAGACATTTAATTTGTAAGAAGAAAATTAGCAACCAGAAAGTTACGAAGGTGGCTTTAAAATTGAATGGATTGTGAATTGTGCGAGGTTAATTAAGCAAATTTTCAAATGATATTTTGACTCCGCTATTTAAAATTTACATAGAACAATAGAATAACTTTTTATCAGTTTAAAATTGCCTTAAAAATTTGCATGATTAAAACTCAGCCGGTGACAACCAAAGGCAGACCGGTATTAAGTTTCCAGGGGGCAGAGCTCTTTTGAAGAAGGGATTTCCCAGGATTAAGGGAAAAGAGCCAGATAAGACGCCCAAATTTTGGCTAAAGAGGCCCCTGTAGAGACTTTTTGGCCAAAATTTAGAGGGCGATCAGCCTCTAGCCAGTTTGTCTCTTGTGATATTGCAACAGCTTGTTGAAATTTACCCCTGAGCATTTTTGAAAACTTTTGAAAGAGAGTGAAAAATTCAACTTTCAGACTAGATTTCATACTGAGAGACCTTCACAAAAAGGTCCTGGTTAAATCATTGAGAATATGTTAATAACCACTGGATGATTCAAGGTTTCCTACCAGAGGTACAGCTCAACTTTTCTGGCCAATAGAAAGGATATCAATGGTGAAACACCCGAACTACATTTCATTTTCAATGTTTTAAAATCTTCGCTCCTATTTCATTTCTTTGAGAGAGGAAGAATCTACGTAATTCTTTGAGGTTTTCAAAGCATTTTTGGACGAAGAAAAGGCAAATCACAGCAGCTTTAAAGACTTGCCATTGAGTAGTTTTCAATTTAAAAAATAAAGTATGACAGGAAGTCAACAACATCGCGAACCGAGATACGGGGTTGGCAAATTCCCGCGTCGATATGCAAGGATTTTTATCAATGCTAAGCATCAGAGTAGAGCAAGCAAAGCAGAAGCAGCAGTAGCAAAGCAGAGTAAAAAATCAATTGTACTTATATGCTTTACAGATAATCGGGTGGCTGTAGCGCAGAATGCAGATAACATTTGATATAAATTGCTTGAAAAAAATAGCAATAAATGAAGCCCAGGTGTCAGTGTTTTTAAGACTGAAAAGTTCTAGAGATTAACTTTTTTTTACTGATTTTTACACTGTAAACTTTTCTTTCTTCTTGAAGCTACAGCCGTTTGGGCTTGCTGTACAGAAATTTTACTGAGAAAAAATTACAAAGATATAGGTTATCAGAGGTGCTCAGCAGGCAAAACTCTTATTTTCATTGCAAAAGCATTCTTAAAACTCACCATCAGTCAGCTGCAGATTACGGTAACCTAGTTCTGTCTTTTTGTTGTAAGGAACGACGATGCCGGCTCTGTGGAAGGTTTGGGTAACAACATTCTTGTTACGCTCAATCATTTTCGGGGTATTTGTCTCCAGGGTGAAGCCATGTTTCTTTGCCCATTCAACTAGCGCTTTTTGTGCAGCAGGAACTTTCATTTTGTTGAAAGGATTTACCTTAATTTTCTCTAGATAAGAGCTGAAAAAGAGGAAGATAAAATAACGTTACAAGAGAAATTAACAAAAACCAATTTTTGAGGCTTCATAATTCAGACCATTGATGGCCATAGGCCAAAATGTCTAGAGCTCTTCAATTTTTCATTCCCTACGTTTTACAGTATTTTGATAAAAAAACAGCAAATAAGGCGGGAATATCCAAAACCTCTGCATGTGCCCAAAATCAAACCGAAAAGTCGATTTCCACATAGGGTATTATGTATGACAGCTTCAGCTGATTTTAACTGATTTTAATAGGCCTGTAGACAAAGTATAAATCAAAGTGCTGCCTAACATGTTTCTTCTTCAAAATTTCAAGAGAAATTAACGATTCATTCAGCAATAGATTTCCTAACTTTTGGTCCGGTGAGTTTTTCAATGTAGAACTTTAGACAGAAAACATATTTGACTTTTTTTCTAGTTCTTACCTGCTTGGTTTAGCGGCCCATTGAATAAAAAGGTATCCTACTCCACCATACTAAGGACAAACACTGTTTGAATTTTCGGACATTACCAAGTTTCCATCGTTAAAACATTTATTTTTGGGGAAAATTGGGGATCTTTCTTCTTGAAGTTTCTAAAAACTTCAGATCAAATTGCAAAGAAAATGCCCCAAAAAATTGGAGGGAAAATATTCCAAAAATTTCCTGAAAATCTGTGTCTCGTAGAAAGAAATTTGGCAACCTCTGAAAATTCACATTGTATTTTTCCTTGAAAAGTCAGTACTCTGGAGTCAATTTTTTGAGGCGTGAAAAACTTGTTATGTTTTAAAAGAAAACACCCTGCACAGAGCTCGAGTATTTACAAAATATTAAAGTATGAAAGATTTTAGCACTTAAGATAGGCTGTTGAAAAGAAGATTAAAGTGTACATACTGGACTGCACCAAAGATATTTTCAGCTACAGCTTTGATAATGAAGTTTTCAGCTGCTTCGTTGCTGGCAACAAAAGCCGGAGGTTGTTTAGGATCGTCTCGCAAGTAACCTAGATGGAACTGCTTCTTGTCATCACCTTTGATAATAGTCTGAACAAATAGAGGATGTCGATAAATGAAGACTCAAAAACACGAGGAATGAAAGTAAAAGACAGGAACGTTGCCAGAGCATTTCATCACAATACTCTATATGAAGGGATAAATTGTACAAAATCATAATGCTTATAGCGATGCAGAGAGAATTGCAAAAATTCTATGTAAAAACTCAGGTATGCACTGGGCGGAACCAGCCGAACTCCATTAGACTTTGCCTAGTTTTCTCTCATGTTTTATTTCTTTAACGGAAAAGTAGGTAACACTAAAACTAAACATTTGCAAGTATATTCTTAATAATCTGAGGTAAATTCACAAAAAGTTTGAAGACATTGGATGGTTTAGATATCTATTTGAAAAAATAAAAGAACAGAGAAAATTAGGCGACAGGAAATGTAGTGAATCTGGTTTCAGTCAAATCTGCCTAATTATTTTTATTCCTCCAGAAATTAAATATGAGTGAGCTTTAAAATTATGTAAGTTAAAAATTTCAATTTAGAATACGCAGTAATCAACTTTTGATTAGAAAAGAATGATGTTACATGGTGCTGATATTTAATGGCACACACAACAAATAGAGTTGAATTGGCGAAACTTACTTGGAATTCTGGTGGATCGTAGTAAAACCTCCAGTGCACAAGGTAATCTTCTGGTTTCATATTTTTACACTTACGCATAGCACCGGAGAGAACATCAAATGGTCCTACTAACGTTAAATCAAACGCTTTGAGGGCATCTACCGAACAAAATTAAAATAGACATTAGACATAAAATAGTTGACCTGGTTTGGAATTGAGAAAAAAAAGTTGGTTAAAATCTTATTCCTCCAAAGGACTCAATGTTAAGGACAATATTTAATAATGCTCCTGTTAAACTTGGTCGAAATGATACCAACATGAGAGCACATGAACGCAAAAAATATCTTCAGGAATAGTCAACTTTTATACTGTTTATGTACTTGCTAACTTGTTGAGGGTTCAGAATTTTGTAATTAATACTTTGCTTTGAAATAAAACATTATTTTTTGCCTGTGTTGCCAATTTTTTTCTCTAAAAGCACAAACTGCCTCATGACATTTTCAAACTCAATTTCTATTCTTTAGTGATTACTCAGATTCTGGTTTTGGCGAAAGTGCTGCTTGTTCAATCCTGTAAATTGGCTGTGCACAAGCAGTCTATGCAGCAAAAAACCACCGCATCAATCAAATATTAGTTACATACAGCCAATTCGCTATAAACGTTAGGCAGCAACTCCCAAAAATGAATCCAACATCATGATGATTCATAAGGATAAAAAATCAGTTGAAACATTATCACTTGATTTCTGTGATTTTCCAAAACTTTCTTGGTTTTACAAATTTTGAGGCCTCATTGACACTTTAATTATTTTTCACTTCCTTTTTTTGTATAACTTAGTGGGCGAAGTGAGTTCTTCTGCATTGAGGTCTGGCATTTCATTATTTGATGTATTTTTTGATAATTAAAGAAGGAAAAAATGGTGCTAAAAATGCAGGAGGCTCTGGTATAATCAGAGAAGATTTTTGCACTGAAGCGAAAGATGCTTTTGATGAACTCAAGAATTTTTTATTGGAGTTTTTAACTCAAGGAGTTGAGCGACTTTGCTTTTCTTTTCATCAAGAAATTTTAATTTTGCCTCACTATTGAAAACTGTCAATTGCTAATTTCAGTTCATCATCATCATCATCATCATCATCATCATCTTCTTCTTCTTCTTCTTGAGAGAGAGACAGAGCGAGAGAATACAGTCACAAAACCTATGAATTACATATAATTTACATTAATTAAGACTCACTTTGAGGTTCCTTCTTGTTGAGAGATTCACAAAATGACCAAAAACTATAGAAATCCTCAGGCATCTCCACAAGGAATTTCTTTTTGATGAATTCTTTGTTAGATAATGTAGTTTCATCCACCGTTTCTTCTTCTGATTCTTCATCTGTGCTAGAGTCAAATTGTGACTTACTGGTTGACCCACTAGGCTTCCCAGGCGCTGAACAAAGGTTAATACAAGAGCTTGATAAGTTTTTAATACATTCATTGTCGGATGAAGCTATTGGCTTAAAAAATAATCAGTGAGTGTTAAATAGACTCTGAATTTGTATATTAAGAAAAGCTTGAAGTTATAAATGTATCTGTATAGAGAATTAAATTGATGGGGATAGTAATTGGATGCTGTTAACATCAAAGCTGATTTAGATTAAATATAATGCAAAATATTAGCCCTCAATGGCGTAGCATTACGAGTTCGTTACAACGTATTTCTTGGGTTGGTAAAAATTGAATCTAGTCCCTCTTGGCATGATTTTGTAAATTAGTTTTTTCTTTTTATGAATAACTGATTTTCAAAATTTTAAACTTTTGAAAAAAATGTTGTATCCAATGTTTTTTACGCAAGCTACAAAATAGATCAGTGTCCCCCTGGATCTGAGATTCAAAATTAAGTTCGAGCTGTACACTGAGAAATTAAACAATAATAAAATAACAATTTCAGACTTATTTAGCCAAAACGCTTTATTTGTATTGACAATAAACAATTTATTGCTTACCATGCTTATGCGTTTTGGGAGTTCTCCCATCTTCAGAGCATTTAACAAACAGAAGATACATGCACTTAAACAATAAAGTTTTTAAAATTTTAAGTGTTGGCAGTGTGGCATTGAATGTTTAAGTGCATGTATCTTCTATTTGTCAAATGCTCTGAAGATGGGAGAGCTCCCGAAATGCGTAAGCATGTATGAATAAATTGTTCATTGTCAATAAAAATACTTACAGTGTTTTGGCTAAATAAGTGTGACATTGTTACCAAATATGACACTGATAAACGCAAATGCATTAAAAAACAATAAATTAAGGCTAATGAAAGACTCACGATCTTTGTTAGGTGACTTCGTAGGACTATCCGAGGGTCTCCTGCCATTGGTTCCTTTGGACGGGGATTCTTGACGGGCATCATCTGATAATCTTGGTTTCTTGGCAGGATTTTCTACTTTATCCTGGAGCATGACAAAAATTATTTATTAATTGATACAGTTTTTTGTGTTCATTTTAGTGAGAAATATGGATAGTCGGAAAAAAAAGCGATGTACAGGAAGACATGATGAATGTAAGAACGAATTCAGTAAAACGTTAATTTCCTTCAGACAGTAATGAACCAACAAAGTTACTCGCTCAAAGAGAATAAATTTACTTTTTACTTGGCTTTTACAAATGTGGTTGAGAGGTACGAGATAAAAATATTTGTAGAAAAACCAAGAAAGCTTGCATATTATAATTCAAAACATTACAATCTGGTCTTACCATGACACTTACTCTATAAAACTACTCACTAGGTCAATAATAATGAAAGATTTGCAATATGAAGTACGTAAAATCATAAACTTAAGATACAAAGCAGGGTACCAAAAGAATAAAAAATCTGATCAAATTGTCCATTCATAAAACCTCGGAATTTCTTTCAAGTGCTGATTTGCATGCAAAGCTATCTACAGTTGAGGGGAAAGAGTGAGAGAGACAACAAGGGGAGCGAATACTGTTACGTGAAATGGTAATCAAACGGAGATTTGTCGAGCAGCCCCCCAGTATAATATACCACGAGAAAAAAATCATTTTGTGAATTATGGATGTTATTCCTTTAATCATGCTCATATTTGTATTTACATTAAATTGAAAACTCCTTCAGACTCTGAAATCCTCAGATAGGTGCAAACATATTCAAATGTACTTTTTGATAAAAACTAAAAAAGATTGGCATAGGAACTTAAAAAATTGGAAATTTATAACTTACTTATACTTTGATAAAAGAACTTGGATGCGTTCCAGGTTTCTGACCTAATTTTAATTTCCTTTTTGCAAAATTAGATACAAACACCTAATTTAATTGAGTTGCCTTTGCTTACCAAATTCACAAAATAAATGAGCCACCTGACATGGGGAAAATTTTTCAATTAGAGAGTTAATGGTTTTGAGAGGTACTATTTGTACCATAAAACTCACAAGGGAGAAGAATTTTTTTACTGACAAACTTAATTTGCGATATAGGTGACCATTGAGGAAAAAAATTTTGTTTCATAATCTCAAAATAATAATTGAAAAAGTCTGAGATTACTGTGAAAGTTTAAGGGGAAGTATTTTAACACTTGTGTTTTCAGGATTCTGTATGCGCGTGGAAATTGCACTGGGTACATGGGCATCCCTTACCTTCAGACTCAAAGGGAAAAAAAAGGGGAAACTATGGAAGACAAAAAAAGAAAAAATACGGGTGCAAATAAATTATTAGAAAAATCAAAGCATTGTATTGATTAAAACAAAATATGCACTTTTACAATAAAAAAATTTCCTAAAGAAACATCGAGGCTGAGATAGTTGATTTGCAAATGAAGTTGTTGACTGACAGCTCACAGTGGATACAAATAAAAACAAGGGAAGAAAGCAAGAACACAATGATATTTCTCCGGATTGTGCAGATGAACACGTTCATTCTTTCTGGGAACTATTGTCTTTGCTCAGCTTCTAGCGGTCTGCAGTTGACCGTGGGAGAAAAAGGAAAAAGTTCTCAAGGATGGATCAAATGAAAGTGACAGATGGATGACGAAGGTCTTTGCAGGAAAGAAGGATGCGAAAAGGCTCTTACCTCCTCGCTTGATAGATTTGGTGCAAGTCGCGCAGCGATAGCTGCTGCATCCGCCAGGAGTTTTGCAGCCGCTGCTTCATCTGGTATATAATATTGGTGAGGGACAGCAGGGATGTACGGAACTGCTGAGACAATCGGAGCCGTTGGGATGAATGGAGTTTCTGGGACGACAGAGGCTGTTGTGATAACTGGGGCCACTGGAATCAATGGCTCTGTTGGAACATCTATTACATCGTGCTCTGCAAGGAAATGAATGCCGAGGTTCTCTGGTTGGGCTGGGATTTCAGGCACCGGTTGAGGCTTAATTTTCGGTTGTGGAGGAGTCTTCATCATTCCCGAGGTCGCTTTGATGAAGTAGTTGAGCATTGTGTTGGAGGAGACGATCTTCTTCTTCGCAGCCTGTGGAACATCCATTCTCTTGATCAAGGCTTTCTAGCGTTCCATTTCTCATTATCACAGATAGAAAACTCGTCACTAACAAGCAGCTCACAGATACGACTAAAGAATTGATACTCATCACCTTTGAACATGGTGTCTAGCATTCTTATCCATGCTTATTCCCCAATTAGATACCTAAGTTTCCTCCCACCTCCCCAGATATTATTCGGAGAAAGTTGATACCTCTCATAAGTTCCAGGTAAGAATTTTGATTTTATCAACCTTCAGCCAATTCTTTGGCACGCATATTAAAATTTACTGCATAAACAACTTGAAACTCGGAAATTTAAAACATTTGAACAACCCATTGCTAAGTGTTTAACTTGTCTGTTAAAACATATTATTGATTCACTGCACGCTCTGCATCTACATTGGATTGAAGATGATGGCCACTGCAATTTTAGCAGCCGCAAAGGAAAAACATGTAGAGAGATAAAACCAATAAGAAAGGAGACAGACAGCATGGGGATGAGGTGTAATGAGATTAAGGGAGATAAACAAAGGGTTGTTAGCCTTGAGTTAGAGGGGTACAAATGGAAAAACAGCCACCATACTCTGATATTTCGCTACGCTTTCCCGCGTTTGAGGTATGGTTCCTGGTGGATTGGAGAAATATGCTTCCAAAGGACTGTTTGAAAGATTAATCGCAGACAAGATTTACTTATTCTCGATTTGAAGCTCAAAAAGCTTCCAAAAGACAATGATGGGAGTTGACGCAGAAGCCTTCTCGTCACAGTGCAAGACATAAATACTGGACCTACTCCCTCTATATTGGTCTGTATGATAGCTTCAACGGGATCCTTGCACCAAATAATAGATGATGAATTCATATTCAAGGGAATTTAAAATATGACCTAGTGATTTGGTTCTCTAGGAGATAATATATTATGACTGGCTTCCATTCATATGCAGTGTGACCATACATCGGAAGCGCCCAACTCATGGCTACACGAGTGAAAACATGAAAAGAAATAATCGTTTACCTGGGATGTCGTAAACTCGCCGAAAACCTTGGGTGGGTGTTTGTAAGTTTCATGGTGCACAGGATTCTTCTGGTAGCATTTGAAACCATACTGGCAAGGGGTTCTAGGATCTTTGCTGTACTGCTCCATGATAGCAGCAACTCGGGCTTCCTCCATCGTAAAAGGGCTGCTGTTCTAGAACTTCATTAGACAAATAATATGGAAAAGAGAACTTGAGAGGGTGAGGGGCAAGTGCCAAACAGCTAAAATTACACTAATCGATAACAAGGAACAGAAATTTTGCAAAATACACAGTTACTAAAATCGCGAAAATAATGGCGGGACGAAAACAAAACAAACAAAGTGAGGTTAATGCTGCAGCTGCAGCAACTGTAGCGACACCTTGTGGCGAGAAAGGAAACTTTATCGGTTAGTGTTTATTATGTGAGATGATAGAGAGCGCAGAGCGCAGGCGGGATGAATGTAAGTGAATCACATATTGTAGAAAGGGCAGGGCACTATTGCAGAAATGTTAACTGTTCAGAAAATGCAAAAAACTGATTTGAGTAAACTATAAGCTTTTGGAAAAAAAAATTTCGAGGTTTTCTTTTGTCCCCCAAGTAGACTGACAATTTCCATAAAAAAATTTTACATGATACTCTTTCTGGGTTGTAAATAATGACACTTGAAGGAAGAGCATTAGTGCCCTTTCTGTAATACATGGGGGAAGGAGCCATAAAGAGTGATAGAATGAAGCCAGAAAATTATTTTAGTCCTTGTTTTTCATCTCAAATGTATGGCAATGATGCATGTCTATAGCGAAAGTTGGAAATTGTATATCTCCATTGCAACGTTTCAAAATTTCTGCTCTCTTTTTATACTATTTTTTTAAAGAGAACGAATAGAGATTTTCCCATGAAATTTTCAGAAAACAATCTTGATGGTGTGAAGAAAATTTACACAAAATTTTAATAGAGAATACTTAAGAACAAAAAAAAAAGAAGACGAAATAAAATTGGCAATGTCGCAATTGATGGTATGCGATTTCGAACTTTCACCATGTGGTTTGCCCACAGCTATGTAAATTTTAAAAATATTTCTGGCTTATTTCAAGTCAAGAAATTTAAAAAAAAAGAAGAAGAAAAAAAAAATGTATCCCTTGAAGTTCAATAGCGTAGTAATCTTCTACCTATTTCCTCATCCAACCTGTTAAGGTTAATCTTCAGCGTTAGTTCTGAAAAAATCCACCACGTCGCGCTGCTAAAATCTGACTCCGAAATCAGCGATTATTTAAATATGAAGAGAAAGACTCTAAATTCTGAAGCTAATAAGTTCTAGCAGCATGTCTGAAGAATGTGTAAAGTCAAAGATGAGCTTTCAAAGTTGCACAATAAAGGCTGGAATTTGATCCCCGTTTTCCTTATGGGAATCCAATGAGTGTGAGAGAGACAGCTCACGGTGGGAGAGAGATATCTGCCAACTGCTGAGAGCGATCAAGCGCGATTGGTTGCATCAAGGTCATCATGCTTAACCCTACTTTTTTCTGGGATCAAATTGCAGAGCTTCAGAAATGACTTTTCACGTTGCTTTTAGGGTCAATAGGAAGAAGAATGTTATAGCTAGAACTTATTTATTTTCGATTTAAACAGAAATTCCTTCAACTTTTATAAAAGCTCAAGGACTCACGTGGTGCTGTACGGACTCTAAAACACAGCGGTGGCGCCCCCTGCGCGGAGAAATTTCTTACTTCACGCAGCTGTAGATACACCTTAAGGGCTCCTCTCACTTCCTACACTCAAGGTTCAATTCTCATTCCTTTCATTTTCAACGTGAGTGAAGCGTGTAGCGTGATCACTGTCGTTTCGAAACGCAAAACTAACCTCTCAATCGTATCAAAACAAAACAAACGACGAGTTGCCGCTGCCGATGCGCGCGCACCCAGTGGACATGTACTGCAGAAACGGCACTATATGCTGCAACAGTGCCCTTTCTGCTCTACGTGAAGAACTTAACCCCTGTCAAAAACACATAAAAAATGCGAATATAGTGCCCTGTCTGCACTACAAGATGTGTCTACATACACTAATGCGAAAACCGCAAAAAACTCAATTTCGAAAAAAATGTCGATTGTGCCCTTTCTGTAATAGCTGATTCAAGTGTGAGAAACAAAATCCAATGAATCCAACTCCAATAATGCCTAAAAATGCGTTTAAAAAGTGTGAAATTTTCAAAATTTACCGGGGGAGGGCCCCCGGACCTTCTTAAAGGAGCCCCCGAACGGGACCCTTACATTTAGGTCTCCTCCTAACTTTTCGACTACCAGTCCGCCTCTGTAGTGCCACTACTGCAGTTTCGACCGTTAAGGCCGTAGTTTAAGGTCGCTAAAGCCAGGATTGCATTTCGCATATGGATAGTTTTTGCAGAATAATTAAAAATTAAGGAGCAGGAGTAATTCAGCTAAATAATATAAGGAACTCAAATCCACAATATAATGCAATACAATTTGGAAAATCTCGTCATGTAAATACAGAAAATTCGTAAACGCCTTCAATCGAAGCGTGATACCTCACGCGTTCCAGAGAGTTCAAATAGTTCTATCCCTGCGCCTTGGCAAGGCAATGGAGGCTTAATATTGAAGTAGCGTCCCCGCGTTGTTTTTCGATTTTCCAGTGCCGCTACTGTATTTTCGACCGTCAAGGCCGGAGTTTAAGGGCGCTAAGGCCAGGATTGTAATTTTTCTGCTAAAGATACGGTATTTTCAGGAAAAGCACTGTAAAAGTACTTTATGTTTGCAAGGCAGTTTTAGAAGACGCACGTTCTATGCGACACAAGACTGCCGATATGGAAAGTTGGTAGTTTCGAAAACGCCTTCAATTGAGGCGTGATACCTCACGCGTTCCGCAGATTTCAAAAAGTTGTATCCCTTCACCTTAGCAAGGCGATGGAAGCTTACCGCTTGGTTTTTTGGTTTTCCTGTGCCGCTACTGCAGTTTCGACCGTTAAGGCCGTAGTTTAAGGGCGCTGAAGCCAGGGTTGTATTTCGCAAATGGATAATTTTTGCAGAATAATTGAAAATTAAGGAGCAGGAGTAATTTAACTAAATAATAAAAGGAGCTCAAATCTACAATACATAATGCAAAAAAATTTGGAAAGTCTCGTCATGTAAATGCAGACGATTCGAAAACGCCTTCAATTGAAACGTGATACCTCACGCGTTCCGGAGTGTTCAAATAGTTGTATCCCTGCGCCTTAGCAAGGCTATGAAAGCTTAATATTGAAGTAGCGTCCCCGCGTTGTTTTTCGGTTTTCCTGTGCCGCTACTGTAGTTTCGACCGTTAAGGCCGTGGTTTAAGGGCGCTGAAGCCAAGGTTGTAATTGGGAAATGGATAATTTTTGCAGAATAATTAAAAATTAAGGAGCAGGAGTAATTCAGCTAAATAATAAAAGGAACTCAAATCCACAATATGATGCAAAAAAATTTGGAAAGTCTCGTCATGTAAATGCAGACGATTCGAAAACGCCTTCAATTGAAGCGTGATACCTCATGCTTTCCGGAGCGTTCAAATAGTTGTATCCCAGCGCCTTAGCAAGGCGATGGAGGCTTAATATTGAAGTAGCGTCCCCGCTTGGTTTTCCGGCTTTCCTGTGCCGAAGGAGAATGAGGAATATTTTGTAAGGTTCGATGCTTGATGGTTCCATCCCTTCTTCAATCCATTAAAAAAGTCAAGTGGTTGGATTTCACCAGAATTCTTGGTTCACACGCTGAATATGGGATCTGACGATGGGAGTCATCAGTCGTTGAGCAAAAGTCGTGATTTTGTGAATTCGGGATTTTACTTTGCTGATTCAAATAGTCCAGACAAGCTGATCACTGTTCAGCATCTAATCCTCATCGATTGCTCAATACGCGACACGCGTAAAATTCTTGGCATCTCTCAACAACGCACAGACGACTCCCATTTTTAGCTCTGATACTCAACGTGTGAACAAGGGATAATTTTTTTTTTTTTTCATGGCGCCTAATTTTTCGCTCAAGCAGGGCCGGATTTAGGGGGTGCCCAAATATGGGGGCAAATTTAGGGGGCGGCAAATTGTGCAATTTTTTTTAAATGTGGATATAAAAAAATCGGATTCAGAAAAAAAATTACAAACAAGAAAAGGCGACAAAATCTCTCATTTCCTGAGAGTTTAGTAATTTATAATTTTTTCGTCTTTCAGTGATACAAGAGACAGCACCTTCAATAAATCGAGTTGAGAGAGAAAGTAAAACGCAATTTAACCAAAATGTCTTTGAATTTAACTTAGAGCAGCGCGGCGCACAGAGCAACGATGAAGAGGACTCGAGATGAATAGGAGAAGTTCTTGACGCGGCGCGGCGGTCGGCATGTAACAGATATTAGCGCCTACAAGACTGCATGAATACTTCACGCATTGCGCCAAACAGTGCGGTCAGCGCGGCTCGGCGCGGCGCGGCGGCGCCGCCGACTCGGTCGGCGCACTGTGGATCAAGTCAATGCTAGAGGTCGGACAAAATCTGGAAACTTTAAACGTTCATAACTCCGCTTGTAAAATATTTTGAGGTTCTAAAAGTGGTTCCATTGGTTTCCTCGTGAAATTTTCTACCAGAATCACTCTATAAAAATTCAAATTTTGACGAAATAAACATCAAAATTTGCAGTCTTATTGTTAGTCAAAAATTTCATGTCCGACCTCTCTAATTGATTCGATCCATTGTGCGGCGGCGGAAGTTAAAATCATTAAACCACATTCATGTTTGTTCTGTCATAATTTTTTCGTTGCTTTCTGATAAAAGAAAGGCCTTCTCCACACAGAGATAGGTTTACGGAACTTAACTTTTGCTGGTAGTGTTGACAGGGCTTTCGCAAAAAAAGGTGTCCAACACGAGTAAACGCGTCTTATGCACTCCTCCCCCTCCGGCACGTTCACTTGATGGTTTTTATTGATGTTTCAAAACGAATGAGAAGGGGAGGACGAAATATATGTACAGACGGTCCATGAGCGGCAAGTAGGTAAATCCGGCCCTGCTCTCAAGTTTCATTTTCTTGAAATGAAGAATCAAACAACATAACACCTTGAAACTTCAGTGACTTTCTCCTGAGTTTAAATGGACGGATTCGAACTTTTCTGAGTCCAGGTTTCACGGCCGTCACTGGTAGTTATCGCCAGGGTTGCAATTTTTCATGAAAGATAAAATCTTAAAATTTCACGTGAAATATTCCATGAAATTTCAGAATTTATTAAAGAAATCGAAAAACACCGCTTCCTTTTCATGTTTCGCAAAATGTATATGTATAAATTGTGACTATCTCCCATTTATGTGCGTTTTAATGCGGGTTGCATACTGCAGC